GAGAAAGAGGTTAATAGGGCTTTAGGGTTTTTTTAAAAACTGGAGAGGTGCCGCTTTAATGCTCTTCCTCAAAATGCAAGTGTAGAAGGTGGCCGTCTCATTCAAAACAACGCACTCCTTCTATGGCTGAAAAAGTATCTTGTCTCAGCAGTTGCTAAAATAATTGAGGCAAACACAAAACTTTCTAATGGTTAAGCTGAACAATTCCAGATTTATTACAGTCACAAAAATAATGGGAAAGCAACCGAGTAGACGGCTAGGAAAGCAGAAGAGGCGGCCGCCATGGGCAGTTCATCAGGAAGGGGGCACAAACACAGGGACCTGCAACCAGTCTTTCCCTTTATGGCCAGTCTAAAGGTGCCCATACACTGCACGATTCTCGTACGAGAATCGCGGGAAATCCCGCGATCATACGAGAATCGTGCAGTGTATGGAAGGCGTGCGATCGTTTCTACTGTACGGTCGCACGAGTTGATGGCCTGCTGGTTGATGGTCTACTGTACGATTCTCGGCGAGTTGATGGCCTGCTGGTTCGACGACTGCCGAACGGGCCGGTGTGCGCACGCGCACACTGCCCGTTTGCAGTCAGCGTAAGCCCGCCCCTCATTACAGTCATCACAAGCCCGCCCCTCAGGGGGCGTGGCTTGCGATGATCGAGAGTGCGATCTGCCCGTCCAAGATGGGCAGATCGTACGTTTTTTTAATCCCTTTACAACCATCGCAAGACTAAGGTCTTGCGATGGTTGTACAGTGTATGGCCACCTTTAGCATTTGTCAAGCGAGGACTAGATTCTACCACCTCATTTATCAGCCGCCCCTGTAATTGAGCGTGCCCTGCCGCCCCAATCTTTATCTGAACTGCTGAATTCATGAAAGAGCGCGCTGCATGTCCTGAAATAGAGATCTCACCGAGCCTCTGATTGCAGCCAATTTAAAAGGCCTTTCAGCACGCTCAAGATTAAGAGATTTGTTCCTTACAGGAAAGAGCCTAGAGGGCGAATTGTTAGTGGTTCCGGAGAGGCTTGGCTGTTGTGACTGGTCATTGATTCTGATTAGATTCAGATCTGAGAGCCGTCAGGGCGCTGCAATGTTAATTGAGTCCAAACAAATTAGCCATCACTGTGTGCGGCTTGTGGACAGCTGGATCAGTTAAAGGAAACCTACCAGCAGCTCAAAGTACACTCAGGGCTGGATTTTCTCTCCCTCTGCTGCCCCAAGGCCAGGTTCCTCAATGCGCCCCCCTACCCGCCAAACCCCTCCAATGGAGAATGGCAGACCTGCAGGCTGCATACAAGTGATCTCTGTGACATTGCCGAGATCACTTGTACAAAACAAGCGGCAGCTTCCCCGCTGTACATTTAGCTCTGCTTACCCAAGGCAGGGCTAAATGTAGAAAACAGCTACCCGCCTGGCTCCCGGAACTGC